TCTATTATTAGGTTATGGGTTCAGGTTTGAGTTTGGGATCTTTTTTCAGTTTATTTTTCAAAACGCTGGCGGCGCCTAGATGCCACCTAGGCGGAGCGGCCGCCTAGATTGACCGCTTCAGCCATTTTTAGGCGGCCGAAGCTCCGCCTACGCCTAGGCCACTTTTTGTAACACTGCTCAAAATACATCAAATATTTAAGGTTCCCAGAAAACAAATGAAGGTAAACATCAATCACGTAGAAAGCAATAACAAAGCAACAAGGCATGTCACGCTGTAAGAACTTTTAACGGCGAACGGATACTTTTATGTAAAAAAGTAGTCAAATAACCTATAAAGCAACTTAACGTTAGAAAATAACAGAACCAGTTGAAAGTTGTAAACGTATAATTAGTAAATAAGTTAATAAATTAATGCAAAAGTTCAACATATAGGAATAACCTTCAGTACGAAAATTTATAATATAGAAATGTGGTGAATGTTAATGCAATACTAATGCTCCTTATAAAAAAAATGGTGTAGCTAAATTGAAATTACTAATGCAAGAGAGTACTGTTAAGACATGTAGTATATAACGGTCCGTATTTACTATGCATGAAAGATTCTAGATCTACATGCATTACTCATTATCATCCATATGCACCAAAACAATAGTTACTAAAGTAATGATTTTATTATCGAGTGCATTCTCAAGCATAGCATGTTACTACATCAGTTTTCCACCGCTACCTTAGGTATACAAAAGTTTAAAAGTTATCTTATGCGTACAATGACTGTTGCATCAAAGACCGTTTGGAAAAAGTTTCGCTTGCCATACTTCAACATTTTTTTGTGCTATGCGAGCAATTTTGAACTATTGCATTAGACCAAAAATGCCATAGTATGGAAGACACGATCCAAACTCCCCAAGCCGTTGACAATTTAATTATGTGACTACGCCTTATCTAAATTAAATGCTTGTAAGTGAATCACAACCAGGCAGCTGAACTTATTAGATCTGGTGACACCCATCATCACAAATCATTTGACATTGGAAAAGAGTGTATAATATAATTTGAAGGCACTATTTGTAAGTAATATCAGAATATCTATACTACTCTATAAGGTGTGATAAATTTTGAAGGTACAAGGATCTTCCTTGATTATTTAATAGATATAAAGTGTATAGGTAATTTTGATGTTGGCTTTTTAAGTAATGAATCCTTTGGGCAAATGGCCACTCTCCATCAGGGGGAACCTCTATAGTTCATCCTTAAATTTGTGGTTAGTATATTCACAAGTTGTTTTCACATAAGCCTTTTAGAAATGTTAAAATACATAATAATTTAAAACGCATACATAGACTAAAATAAGGTCAAATGTATCTTTTCATCTAGTAGATTATGTAAAAAAAATAAGGTCAAATGTATCTTTTCATCTAGTAGATTATGTAGAAAAATAAGGTCAAATGTATCTTTTCATCTAGTAGATTATGTAAATCCATTCTAACAAAGACTTCCTTATTTATCAAATTAAAGGAAATTTTTAAACTTAGCTCTTCTCATAATTTCTTGCAATCTCCTATAATATCTAAGTTAAGTTTGATTAGCTCTTTATTTAAACAATTATCTATATTATTTTCTAACACAAAACAAGTCTGACCTTTGAGGTAGTGATTGGCTAGAATAGAAGGGAACATAATTCATAGTATATTATTATCATAATCATGAACATCATTTTATATTATTTTTTATTTGTATAATCTTATATCGTTTATCATCTTTGTTTGTTATAATCTCATCATCTGTATTTTCATCAAATATTGTGAAATTGGCAACACCTTATTGACATGTTTTCAAGTGAAAAACAAAAACATTGGTATATAATAATACAATTTGAAGGAATTATTTGCAAATACTTGTTATCATCATCACCACCTTTATCTTATATTATTATTTACAATTGTTATTATCATCTGCTTACACATTATTATCATTTTATAAAAATATTTAGAAAAAATAAAAATGTGGGAATACAATAATAATATATTTTGAAGAGATTACTTGAAAACAATGTTACGTCCTCCAAACTTCCAGCTATAGTACTACCAATCATTTGCTTCACAACTTCTATGGAAGCATTTAGTAACATACGTATATCCATACATATACAGAGAGAGAGATGAGCTACTATCCACTTAAGCGGATAGGAGAATTTGTCCATCCAACCTTTTAACTGTTGGGTGCACATAATAATCAAGGTGAACAAAAAGTTGATTGTAATATCCATCCGATTGTTAAAAAGTTAGATGGACAAAAACTTATATCCACTTAAGATGACAGTAGCTCAACTCTCACCCCCCAACACACACACATATACATATACATACTCTGTGTGTGTGTGTGTGTGTGTATATATATATATATATATATATATTTTGACAAAATATTTTTTACTAAAAAATATTTTAATACGATGATACCAAATGCACAGTATAACATGATAATAATAGTGGCGATAATAACAATTGTAAAATAATATAAAGTTAAAATGAATAAACATAAAAAATGATAAATAATTATAATAAATAAAAATAATATAAGATAATCATAATTATGATAACATTAATAGCAATATGCATCATATTCTTCTCCATTCTAGTCATTCACTATCTTATGGGCCAAACCTGTTTTTATGTTAAATATAATACATAAGGTTGTTTATAATGGTAAGAGCTACTAAAACTTAACTCAAATAGTATATATACTTTATTTTTCTATTAAATGATGAAGGAAGGTACTCATTCCTTTAAATTTTATCATACCTTATACAGTAGTATAAATATTCCTATATTACACAAATAATCCTTTCAAACTATTATCACTATATTCCCACATTTTCTACTAACAAGGTTACAACAAGTACAAAATATGAGATGATGATAATGATAAAATTGTTTAAAATAATACAAGATTATTAAAAATAAATAATATGAGATGATAACCGTAAGAAAATAATAGAAAATAAACAACATACACCAAATGGTCTATTGTAGTGTTTTCTACCTTGGGTGGGGTTAATTCTACGCTAAAGTAATCCAATCCAAACTTATTATCTCGCTATCCTCTCATATCTCTCCCCAAGAGGCACATCATCAATAGAATCCAACAATCGACATGTAAGGTAGCAACAATGCGACGGTGATAAGTACACATCTAATACTTCTTTGAACATAACCTATATATATCAGTATTGACAATTTATAAACTAATGATTTTTATAGTAATCATGCATATCACACCCATTTTGAATAAATAATTGTTCCATTCACGGAGCAAATACACAAACAAAACTATTTGGATAATATTCTCTTCTCCATCGTCAAACAACATGCCCGTGGTGAATGAATCCACTAAACCAAATAAATTCAACAATGCTTGATTGTGATCCACTTGCAAGCATTAAATTTAGATAATGTGATAATCATATAATTAAATGATCCACGACCAAGAAGGTAGGATCTGTCTCCCTCACTATGACATTTTCAGTCTTATACAACGGTCCAAAATTGCTCACGTACTAGAAGAACCATAGAAGTTGAGCAAGCACAATGGTTGTCAAACGGTCTTCGATGTGGTCGTCATACTACCCATAAGACAACAGCTCTCCAAGGCAAATATTAGAAATCTAATGTGACAACATGCTTATGTTGCTATGTTGGAAAATGCAATCCATTAGGAGAGAATTATTTTACTTTACTAACTATTATTGTAGTGCATATGTATGATAAGTAGCATACACAAAGTTCTAGAATCCTTCATGTGGGATCAATACAAACCATTATATAATGGGGGTTTCTGCAATATATATACCTCAACTCATGTTTGCGAATTTACCCCTCAAATCTATGTATCTACAAATTTTACCCCTCAATTAGTTCATATTGGCTTTTTCCTAGTTAACAATGTTAATTATCAAAGGGTAGAGTATTTCAATGACCTGTATACCCATTCCTAAAATTTATGGATTGGATGAAAACGAACTTTGACCCTCAAGTTGGTTATAAATACATTGATCCCCCTTAAAATATTTCAACCCAACAACTTTTCCTTATTCTTAGAAATCAATTACTTCATCTTTCGTCTCTCCTTAAATTTTAGTTCATCCTGTTGCAAATTTGGATCCTCGAAGCATTTCTTCATTAGTTTGAACAGCCTAGGGAATGCTTGAACAAAACTATTTATGAGAAATGACCAAGACACTGCAAAAATGCAAGCAATTCAAACAAGCCTCCTCCTTTTCCACTTCATCCCCCTTCACTCCTTGTTTCGTGCTTTGAGTTGGGGAGCATCGATCAAATAAGTGATATAAAACCCTTCTTCTCATTTGAGGCGCCAGTACCTGTCATCATTCTATTAGTTTTTTTCCTTCATTAATCCACTATATTTAGCAAAGAAATCGAGATTCTTCGGCCCAAGCATTAAACTCTTTGACTAATGGGACTAAAAACCTTTGGAGAAACAAAAGAATCTTGAATCGAGAGGACAGGATTACATCTCTTACTGATGGAGGAATGATTCCACTATATCGGCATGTGAAACCATCAAATGATGAAGAAACTCTAGATAATTGGGATATTCCCTAACACTATAGGGTGAGGGGTAGATTGTAGAGTGAGGGGTAGATTTATCTGTTGTTGGAGAGATATGGAGGGTAAACTCGTAAATACCTAGACATGAGGGGTAAAATATCAAAAAAAACCAATATATTATTTGTCCTAATAATACTCTCTTGTATTATTAATTTGAATCTTTTTCATCTCTTTGTAGACTAGAGATCACAACTCCTATTGTCTTAGCTAATGAATCATCTGACTTGTGGCTAGATGTTAAAATATTAATGGTTACTGTAAAACAAATACATCTAAACAACAATGTCCTAAAAAGCACGAGCAAAGAAAACAAAGCACATTCATGCTCTAAGAAATCAGGCCTTTAGCAGCATATATTTTATGGAAAAAGAATAGTTGGAGAACTTATAAAACAACTCAAAGTTAGAAAATTAAAAAAACCGATCCGAAGCTAGGAGTTTATACTACTAAAGAACTTAAGAAAATAAGTCGAAAGTTCTTAATCTTAATACAAGACCAAAGCTGCACATTACTAGTAAAGCTAAAATAAAGATTCAGCAGGCCTCATACAACAGAAAAAATTCCCATACTTATTTTGATCAGTGTCCTATTTGAATGATGCCTTAAACGTAAGAAGTAACGCCACCCTAGCAAAACTCCTAGATCTCAATTCTTTCATACACGGCATATAAAAACCAACGCATTAAAAAAATCACTCGCAAGCTTGTTTTATGTATAAAACTTAGATCTCCACATTTCGATCACAAAAGTTCTAACTTTAAAACTGGAAAAAAAATGACAGATCTAGAACTCACCGATGGTAGGAATGGTGGTGACGATCTCTCCAAGCTTGAGCTTGTAAAGGATCGTGGTTTTACCAGCGGCATCGAGACCCACCATCAAAATCCTCATCTCCTTCTTCGCAAACAAGCGGCTGAAAAGCTTCGTGAACGTCAACCCCATCTCTACAACAACGGATCAGATCAGAAAATTCTCAGATCCAGCAGACCGAAGATCTAAGCAACAACGAAAGGAGATCGATTCGAGATCGGAGATCGATTCGAGATCGAAGATCGAAGATCGAAGATCGAAGATCGAAGATCTCTAGATCTAAGAGAATCTAAAAATTGAAGGAGAGATTACCGAAGAGAATCGCTGGAGAAAAATCTTGAGATCGAGATCGAGGCCTTTCTCCTTCCTCCTCTTCTCTGTTTTGGGTAAAGAGACGGAGAACGCAGAAACTAAAACGGGTGCAGTCAGTTTCGAAGACCTCCCTTGTTTTAAATAGGGCCTCGCACCAACTAGTGGGGCCCACTCGAGGTATGTGGGTGATCTAATGGGTGCTGGTAGCTCCTAATCTTCGTAAATTTGGAAGGGAATGGGATGCCGCGTGAGCCTCACGCACATGCGACCGCCGAGAGGGCCGGCCGGCCCCTTTTACTCTCTTCTGACGCGTCATTGAGCAAATCTGGCGCCCGATTTGGTTCACTGAAAATGATCTTCACCGTTGAATTGTGGGCCCAGTGTATGAAAGAGCTAGGCTTTAAACAGAAGAACAGGTCCGCACGGACCAATACAATAAATACATTGTTGTGTCAAGTTGGGCCTCCAAAAGTTCAAAGGATCCTTCGGCCAAAGGCCTAAAGGCCTGTTTGGTTGCTTTCCATAATTATAAGGAAATACGTTTCCTTTAATTTATTGTGTTTCCTTTGCTTTCATAGAAAAATAATTTTTGTGTTTGTGTCCCAAAAAATATGAAGTATAAATAATTTCCACTACTTTCCTTTATTTTGTTCAATTTAAAATAAAGAGGAAAGTAATTGATGTGTGAATGGATTCCTTCATTTTTCTTAGTTTGGTTGCAATTTGAAATAGGAGAAAATAAGGTTGTGGCCACCATAGTATGTTTATCACTCATATAGGAGAAAATTGTTACCAACATAAATTGAGTGGTGAAAATTGTATGTAAAATAAAAATACATTCAAATGCAAGGATATGAAGAAACAATTGAAGCTCGCAAAATGGCAAATTGCAAATTAGAAAATGAAAAACTTCAATGTTGGCATAAAAGCTCAGTTTTGGTCAATGTCATCATATTACCTCACCTAAAATCTATGGTCACTACTAAAAAATGTTGTATTTTTTACGGAACATTCTAGATGGATTTTTTCCTGTCTAGGATGTTCACATTCTAGATAGAAAATGCCTGTCTAGAATGCAAGAATTCTAGACGGATAGTAACTTTCTTCTTTTTTTTAAATTATTTGAGGATCTAACCATCATAGACAGAGCATCCGTCTAAGAAGCTACCCGGACATAAATCACCATCGAAAATGGTGGGGCCTACGTAAAGGAACATTTGGTGCCCTAGTGCTAGAGCTTCCCCCCCCCCAAAAAAAAAAAAAATTCTAAGTTGTCGCTTCTGAAAATAATTTCCCCATATCTTTCACCTCCTATTTTCAAAATCTCTGTAATTTCTAAAATATTTCTCCCCATATCTTTCACCTCCTATTTCAAAATCTTTTGTAATTTCAAAAATATCCCCCCTCCCCCCCCCCCCCCATATCTTTCACCCTCCTATTTTTAAATCTATGAATTTCTAAAATATTTCCCCCCATATCTTTCCCCTTATCTCTTAAAATTTTTAAAACTAAGTTTCCTCCTCCGTCTCGTCCCATGGCCTCATCCTCCATGCTCAGACGCCCAGATTCGTCCTCTGGTGAACACCTTCACGTCTTCCTCCTCTAACAAATTTCACCCTCCATCATTTTCGAGCGCGCAACCATCTTCGATTTCCTTCTCCTACATTGAGAGCCTATCGAGATCTATACGTCCATAAGTATTCTATGCACAACTTGTTCTTTTAAATTTTTTTACTCCCCTACTCAAATCACCTTCACAAACGCTCAATGACTATCCTCTCTCCTCTTCCTACTCTTTTTTATGATCGGTTCTCAACTTGTGATGCTTCCGGCGAGCTATGGCGTGTGGCTAAAAAAATGTCGAGGATGCTTCTGCTTCTATTTCTCTTAATCTAAATCAGTCATGATTAGTCATAGGTTTCTTATAGTATTAATTTGTTGCAAGTCTTGATTAGTGCATGTCTTCTTCAAGGTTAGCAATGTTGCTTAACTTTTGTTACTAAGAATGAGTTTGATAGGTATCTAGGACTTGGAGTGTGATGATGTTTTTGAGGCAATTGGGCAAATTTTCATCAATTTTGATTTGTACTCGATTGCTTGGCGAGATTTTCGTTGTATTTTGTTGAATTGGGATCTTTAATTGATCTCACTTAGCAGTTTCATGTTACAAAGTTTAACTTGGGGACTAACTTGCGGTTTGTTTCCAATTTAAGTATTTGGATAATTGAATGATTTGATGATGATACTTTGTTGATTTGAAGCATTTAATTGTTAAGTTAGTGATCTTATGCCTCAGAGAATCAATTGGGTTGATATCTAACTTTTCTATTTCTTTTTTCTTCTTTTTTTAGTACATAGTTGGATGATTTGAGGAATCTGCTGGCTAAGAGATTGGCGTGAATTTTTTTGATAAATTGAACTGAAAATGGTGAGATTTATTGTAAAACTTTTTTATTAGTTTTATTTTTTTATTAGTCTCTCATTTTTTTATGTTTGAGTTTTTCATGAAACCAGTATTTTTCCTTGAGAACTTTGATCATTTTGAAGATTTTTTATTGCAAGAACTACTACTTAGCCATTTCTCTGCATCGTTTCACAGTTGCATTGCACATAAAGAACTCAGTGTCTTACTATTCTTAATATCAGTTATCGATTATTTTACCTCTCCATTGTTGCAATTGTCTTAGTTTTAGCTACTGTAGTGGTGGTGGTTTTGCTGCTGCTTAGTATGATTTGTTTTGGGGACAAATCGATTGATTCTATGATAAAAGGTCTTTGTTTTCAATTGATGTTGGTTATTTCTGTTGCAATTTTAGATCATTTGTTAACTCGCAAACTTCAATTTCTCCATCGGCTTCTCCATCAACAGTTGAGGATCTGGGTTAGGGTTCGAGCTCGAAGGCACTGTCGTTGCCGCACGTCCGCACGTTGTTGGCTGTGTCGCCCACACCACTCCACCGCACGCCCGCAAACCGCACGTCTCACATTTTGAATCTTTACCTATTTCTAGTTCTTATTAATTAATCTTTCTACTTTTATTAAATTTTCTTTTGTAGAATTTGATACGATCACAAATACTTATCATTGCCATAGGAGCTAATGACAAGGTACATTTTGTGATCTAGAAGAATTCACATTGTTGTCATTTTAATTTCAACTTGTACCCCAAACAAGATATTCACATATATATTTTTTAGTAGGTTGGGAGGGGTTTGCAAATGATTATAGAATTCTTCAGGATGCATTATCTAAACCACAACTATATGGATTGAGAGTCTACGATGGTAATTATTTAAAATTTTAACTTAAATTTGAATTTAATATGCAAACTTGTCTTCCTTACAAATTTTCTCAAAACATTGTAGGCAAATACAATTTGTGTAATGCTAGATACCCCATCATACCAGGTTTCATCTCTCCATACCAAGGTGTTCATTATTATTTGAAAGAACATTCGGGTAAAACACCTAAGAATACAAGGGAATTGTTCAATCTAAGGCATTCTTCTTTGAGGTCTAAGATTGAATTTACATTTGGCACATTGAAGAATCGTTTCAAGATTTTGTGTGCTACGCCACATTATCCATTTCCTACACAAGCAGATATCATATTGGCATACACGGTACTTTATAATTTCATGGCAACTATTGATCCAAATGATGAACTACTCAACGAGACCGACGTTAATGAACATATTGATGATGAGTGACAAATGAGAATGACAATAATTTAGTTGATTTTACTAAAACTCAAACTGAATCAACAAATGAGTGGAAGTGTCTTAGGGATGACACTGCTTAGGCGATGTGTTTGACTATTATGATAAGTATAATCATGGTGTAACCACTGAGACTTAATTTTCATATTTTTTGTACAATTTATAATCATTTAGGTACTCTTTAATTCTATGTTTTGCTTTTTCCATTTATTATATTTTATTTTTCATTCATGTATTCATGTTAAGCTTAGGCTATACATTATATTGTATCTAACTCTCTCTATTGAATTAGTAATAGCTGATAACACATCATTAAGTGGGAGAGAGAACCATAAAGGCAAGGGTGTAGTTCCATCTCAACCTCCACCACCTCAACCTCCAATATTTATTAATATTGCACTGGATGGCTAACAATGATTATATTGACCAAGTTTTAAGCCCTCAGTGATAAACTTCATATACATGTGACTGGTGTATTTTATGTGATATCAACAAATGTTTTCAAATGATTTTTTAGTCATAAAGTTCATTCAAATTTAAGTATGCATAAAATAGCAAAGTTGTACACGATAATAGCAAAGTGATACATGTCATTGCTTCTATTTTAGCGATTGTAAATATATTTCTAATCCACAATGCTCTCAAATACAATCCTTACTCAGATGGACCATAGTTTTATTGTAACTAACTTCATATGCGTGTGTTAAGAGAATATTTTTGTTCCAGTTCATGTTGGGTATATCTTTGCAGTATGGACACTTCCAATTTTTGTTTTGGTCTCTAACTTTTACAGCATTAGCTTTTACCTTACTTTCTATTAATTCCATGATATCCCACACTCATCTTGCTCTCGATCTACATTTGTATAGGCAATCCGCTTTTCGAAGGTGGTTGGATGTTTAGGTTTAGTAATATTTTCTCATTGATAAAAAAATAGAGTAAATTGACATTAAAATAAACAACTCTATTTTTTATCAAAAAAAGTTTTAATTATTTTTATCTTTGATGATGGTGCAGATGAGGATTCACCAATATCTTTACTTTTCTTACTCATATTTTTTTTTGTTAGCATTTGGTATACAAACATTGCGTTTTATAGATATATATGGATTGGCACGTTTAGTTTGTGGTTGGATGTTGAATCTGACAATATTTATTTGGATTATTAAATTTTCTGCTAGTTTTACCCATGGTTTTGAAGTGCTCATGATATTGAAACCTAACTATTTTCATAAGATTTTTTTTGCTAATAATAGGTATGTAGTTGATAACAATTATGATCAATCATGATAATATAGGTTTCATATGATTTTTTCAGGTCAAACAGGTATTTTTCATCCTAAATCAGGTATGTAGTTCATAACAGTTACGATAATCATGTTATTGCAGGTTTCATATGATTTTTTTATTTTAAACAAATATTTATGATGAATTCAATTATTTACTGCTTTTACATGTTATTTTCGCATTTTTATTTTGGTAAGATTACCCCCCATAACAATCACAAATAAATTTGTCTTTAGTGAGTGGTAAACTTATCATAGTGACCATATACACTTTTCCCTATAAACATCAATACCAGTCAAACACAAGAAAAGTAGGAAATGTCTTGTTGATGATATGATATTTTAGTTATTTGGTTACTTATTAGATAGGAGATAATTATGCGGTTGAGATAATTGGTTATCTTGTTAGCTAGCAGTATAAGTTGTAATTCTTTGTATTGTTTCTTGATCAAGGAAAACATTTCTCTCCAAATTTCTCCTCATATTTCTATATGGCATCAGAGCATGTTAGAGATTTCTGAGAGAAATCTTAACCCTACCAAAAGCCGCCGCCGCCCCTTCTCCCTAAACCCTACTGCATTGCCATCAAACACCACTTTTTCTTTGCCCATATCATGATAGAGAGAAACACAACCAACAAGAAGGCATTGGATATGTCTTCTCCATTTTTTATGTATCCTTCGAATAGCCCGGGAGCAGTGATTACCACGTGCATTCTGAATGGATAAAACTATGATATGTGGGTGAAGGCGATGGCGAACGTACTTAAAGTGAAGAACAAATTAAGGTTTATTAATGCTACACTACAGAAGACGACACCGAATACACCGGAGGTGAGTAGTTGGTCCTCTTGCAACTCGATGCTGATTTCTTGGATTTTCAACTCTATCGAGAGGTCCATTCAGTCAAGTATAGCCTACGAGGAGACAACTAAAGCAATTTGGCAAGATCTACGTGATCGTTTTTCAATTTGGAACGCACCTCGAATTCATGAGTTGAAAGGCCAGATTGCCTCGACTAGGCAAAATAGGATAACAGTGATGACATACTACACACGATTGAGAAGTATGTGGGATGAACTTTGTAGATATTCTAGGGTGTCGAGTTGTACTTGTGAAGTAGTGCACGACTTCCTTCATGAGCACGAAGAAGAGAAATTACATCAATTTCTCATGGGACTCGACGACGCTATTTTCGGTATAGTGCGATCTCAAATACTCAACATGGAACCTTTGCCCCTTGTTAATAAAGCTTATGCTATGATTGCTAAAGAATAAAGGCAGAGGAGTGCCCTGAGGTGATGGTGAATGCGGTTAATACATCGGCTAAGGGAAGAGGAGCTGGACAATCCTGGACAAAACAACGAAGTGATGTGGAGAAAAATTGTTCACATTATCACAAGTTGGGGCACGACGTCACGGATTGCTTCGAGCTCCAAGGTTACCCGGCTTGGTACAAAGGCTGAAGAGGACGCGAGCGTATTGAGAAGTTCCGAGGGCGAGATTAGGCCTATGTCGCGGTAGCAGGAGGACTAGCCAAAGAAAGTAGCAGCGTCGACACTCAAGTTTTATCGACGGAGCAGTTTCAGAAACTACTAAACATGTTGGATCACTCTAGTGATAACACCAATAATCATTCTGTGAAGGATTCTAAGCCTCCTACTTGGATACTTGACAGTGGGGCTTCGAATCACATGACTGGTAAGAAGGAGTTTTTGAGTGATCTCAAGAATACGATTCTGATGCTTGTTTATTTGCCTAATAGGTCGAGAACAATGGCGACGATGGTTGGTCGCGTTGTTTTGAGTCCAGGAATGGTGTTGATCGATGTTCTATATGTGTCGTATTTAACTTGTAATTTAATATCAATTTCTCAGTTGATTTCTACGTTAAATTGTCAAATAACGTTTATTAATGAGGTTTGTGTAATACAGGACCGTACCTCGAGGACACTGATTGGAGCGGGTGAGCTTTGGGGGGGAGGGTTATTGGTACAAGGCTATATAGACACATTCAACAATGAGAGTGGAGTGAGATGACTCACACTTAGTTTGGCATCGGTGACTGGGACATCAGAGTAGTCAGCATCTATCTTTTATCTCGGATATTGGTTATTTCGATTCTATGAATAAACTTGTCTGTGATGCTTGCTATAGGGAAAAACAAACACATTCTCCTTTTCCATTAAGTAAGAATAATGCTACTACTTGCTTTGAATTAGTTCATTGTGATTTGTGGGGACCGTATTTAAAACCTGCTTCTTATGGTGCATATTACTTTCTTACTTTGGTTGATGATTATAGTCGAGGAGTTTGGGTGTATTTGATGAAGGAAAAGAGTGAGGCTAAAAAGTTTCTTATGCTATTTTGTAAACTTGTCAAGACACAATTTGATAAATCTGTGAAGCGTATTCAAAGTGATAATGGTCTTGAATTTGAGGGGCCTATGCGAGCATTTTATGAGGAAAATGGAATAGTGCATGAAACTAGTTGTATAGATACACCTCAACAAAATGGAAGAGTTGAACGGAAACGTAGGAATATTCTTGAAGTGGCTAGAGCACTTCATTTTCAAGCTTCTTTACCTATTAAGTTTTGGGGAGAATATATTTTAACTGTAGTTTATCTTATTAACCGTACACCCACTGTTAAACTAGATAAGAGATCGCCTTATAAAATTTTATTTGGCAAAAAACCTACGTATGATCATGTCAAGGTGTTTGGATGTCTATGTTATGCACACAATAATCCTAGACAAAAAGATAAGTTTGGCTCAAGAAGTAGGAAATATGTGTTTGCAGACTATCCACATGGCAAAAAGGGTTGGAGACTTTATGATTTGGAGAAAAATAAGTTTTTCTACTCAAGGGATGTATCTTTTCATGAAGATGTTTTTCCATTTGCTCAAAGTAATAAAAGTCTTAAATCTCATGCTTGTAATGTTTTCGATCATGTGTTTAGGCCGTATGATGATTTCAATTGTGATGACGAGATAATTGGGGAGCTTGAAGCAACTCATAATGTTGGTACTCGAGATGAGGGAGAAGATGCGAGTCCAATTAGTGAGGATGATGCGAGCTTGGTTCATGAGGTTGTAGCTCAAGCCGAAGGGGTAGCTAGGTGGTCGAGAAGAGAGACTAAAACACCGGTGCGTCTCGAAGGTTTTGTTCTTTATTTGGCAAGGATTGGATGGCAACGGAGTGACCAACTAGAGTTTGGGCAGCAACATGCACAACAGCGGCATGCAAAAATGCACGACTGTGCACAACTAGAGTTTGGGCAACGATATGTATAGCAGCAGCGTGTGCATGGCTGTACACGCGACTTGGTTGGGCTGAGTGCTACAAGGCAGCTATGTGCATGACTCCCTGGTGCGCTGATGCACGACTATGCATGCTGGTAGAGAGATGACAAAGGAAGGGCAGAGGTCTAACAGGTTCGGCTGAGCAGTGACGGTGTTTCGTCGGTAGTAGAGGTCTAACGGGTTCGGCTTAGCAGTGATGGTGTTTTATCGGCCAATCATGCATCTTTTTTGCCTCAAAAATTTAAAGATTTAGCTTGAAATGATAGCATTTACCCCCCCCCCCCCCCCCCCCCCC